ATATATATTGTATGAACTATAATTATTCAGGTAATAGTCAGTCTTGTCTGCTGTTAATTCTACTGTAGACATCAACTAGATTCCTATTAGTGGCTAGAAGTGGAATAATGGTGTAACTTTCATATTCAAGAGTAAATGCTGAGTTCTAAATTCAGTTAAAATCTACATCCTAATTACAAAACCCCTAAAAACAAGCCAAGCATTTGGACTGTGTCTTCAGTTTCTTCAAATTATTCTAGGTCCCCTATATCATTTTTGTAATATTTATGATTATAAAATAAGAAACACATCGCATTTCATATGTATGGTATTAATGTTATGTATTATTATTGGGGCGGAAACAAATGATGGGCTAGTATTTGATTAAAGTAGGGCAATACTATAAAATAGAGGCAGTTTGTTGTCATAGGCACCAGGATAAAAAACCCAGGAAATTAAGAGTACCAATCCTGCCTTAGATACAATGCCTGTTCTGTAACTCTGGGCCAGTCACTCTCTCAGCGCTAGGATGAAGCAATAGTAAACCACTTCCAAACATCTTGCAAGGAAAAACACAGGGACTAGTCCAGGCAGTCACCAGCAGTCAAAACTGCTTTTAAGCACACACACAAACACACAGAGAGAGCTATAAAACTTGGATTGATTTGTGTAGTCCAGCTGGGTGACTCTGGACCGTCACTCTCTGTCAGCCTCACAGGGTTGTTGTGGGGAAAACAGGAAGGCAAAGGTGTATTGAATATGTTCACCGCCTTGAGTTATTTGTAAAAGTAGTAAAGACCGGGTAAAAATAAAATAAATAAATATTGTAATCTGAGATGGTGGACCTACAACACCCATTGTCCCCCTACCAAAAAAGGCATTGTTTGTGCAAGCTGTGGGAGGGCTATAATGTGCAAAGGGGGTTGAAGTATGCATACTGAATTGGGAATGCTACCTCATGGGCAATCTCTAGAAGCTAATAACTTTATCAGAATGAGCATATTTATGCATATTTATATTGTATAAATTATCCTTCTCTACATCCTTCATTTTCAAATATTACTTGGATCCCCATCAATCCATGTTGAGCAGGACACCAGCATCAATTAATTTACATTATTATGATTTGGCAGCATGAGAAACTGTGGTGATATTTTTATTTTTTTAATGTAAACTGTGTACATGAGTGTTGGGACTCTTTTCATTCTTACACAAAATGTTGGGGGGAACCATTGTTTAAAACATGGGGTTAAATGCAGGAAATAAATCAGTGACTACTGTCTGTATGTAGAAGGGGGGAAATAAAATAATAAGTTATTCATTTTTTTAATTAAAACATACACTTTTCTTTTTCAAAACCTCTGTTGTGGATTTTGTGGTTGCATTTGAATGTAATTAGACATGGGAATCTGAGTTAGGATAAATTCTATTAACCTCTAGAATTATACTACAAATTAAGCTTTTGTGCATCAGTCTCAGGATTCAGTATTGTGTTTTGTTCTTTTTAGTCTACTAGAATACCAACTCTGCAGTTGCCGAAACACAACACACACACCACGCACCCCGGACCCTTCAATATCCTACCACCAATTTCACACTTTTGAACAAATAAGTAATCACAGATAGATCTACTACTTTACCTTAAGAAGTGGTGGATCTTTCCCTTCTGAGAAAAGCCAGAAGTACTGTTGGCTGAAGGTCTTCTCCACATCTCCATAGAAACCCATGTACACAATACAACATACCTTGGGCTTTCAGCCAACATTGCTGACTCAGGACCAGAGTAAAATATTCTTTGTCCACTATGAATCTATTTACAAGGGCAAAGTCCCTTGGATTTGTGGGAGCACTGTAGCACTAAGTCTATCAACCTGTGTACTTATATGACAGTATTTCTTCTGGTGCAGCTTTGATTTAAAAAAAAAGAGAAAGAACAAGAGAGATAAAGCTCTTCCTAAAAAGGGAGGTCCAGTCAAAAAAAAAAACACAACTCCGAACTTTCATACATTGTTGTTGGTACAGAAGAACAAAACTTGGCAATTCTTACGAGATGCAAAAGTGACATAAAAGGGTCATGTAGATTTATAGGGTTTCCCTGCTATTTATTCATCATATTTATATGGACATCCACCTCACAAAATATCACTCTAGGTGGCATTCAGTAAAAAACTATNATGTTTACATGGGTTTTTCTTAGTGCTTCTTTTCTTGTACAGTATGTAAATATACAGTAAACAGTTGCAATTCTATATATATAATGCGTGTATGTTTATGCCCCAACATACTTTTCACTTATTTTTTAAGTACTCCTTATGTATTTTTATAATGTATTTTTGAATTTTATCCCTTTTTTCTTTTTTGTTATTTTAAATAACAAAATTATTTTTATTTATTTTTAAAAAACAATGTTACATCATTGTGATTGTGGTGAGAAAAAATTTTTGGACATGAGACTGATTTAACAGATTTTTTTTTTATGTTAGTAGCCAAAAAAAAAAAAAAAAAGGAACAAGAGCTGTATTAGGAAGCTGTATTTATTTCAGATTTATGTAAGAGTATAGAAACCACGGGTCAAATGTGCATCAAAACAATATTTGTGTACAAGCAGTAGGTTTTTGCTTCAGGCAGCCTCTAGATGAGCAAGTGCTAAAATAACAAACTTATTGTCTTGGTCAAAACCAGGAAATGAGAAGCAGAACTCAAATCAGTTTTTATGAAGGCTTATTATGATACTCTTCAGTTATAGGCAGAACTAGATGCCACAATTTCATGGAATGTATATGCTTGCTACAACAGAGCACTTTTTTTCTGGAAACATTTAAACAAAGTATAAAACCAGCCTGCTCTTGATGAACAAGCGAGCTATGAATGTTTTGGAAATATTATATTATAAAGCAAATTGTTTTAGCAGTTTAAATGTTAAGTGTTAACATTAACTCACCTGATTGTTAAGTGGTTTGTTTTCAATTGGTGTCCAAGAACTGAATCGTGTATGCAGGGTTTCCATTGTCTGACTCCGATGCGGACTCTGACTGTCTCTTGTAGGGTATCCTAAGCTTTTCAAATGTCACCATGAGGTATATATATTGTATGAACTATAATTATTCAGGTAATAGTCAGTCTTGTCTGCTGTTAATTCTACTGTAGACATCAACTAGATTCCTATTAGTGGCTAGAAGTGGAATAATGGTGTAACTTTCATATTCAAGAGTAAATGCTGAGTTCTAAATTCAGTTAAAATCTACATCCTAATTACAAAACCCCTAAAAACAAGCCAA